CCCCCCCCCCCCCCGAATCAAAATCCTGGCTACGGGCCTGTATAATAACTTAGAGACTTATCAAGGCAGAGTGGACAAACAAAATCCCACCACTGCCACACCAATTATAAGGACTCCTCAATTGGCCGTCTGGGCAGGGGGGTCAAAGAATCCCACCACTGTCCCTCCTTCAATAAGGAATTCACACCACCTTGGCTCTTATAGCGTTTGGGGAATGTCTATTTATTTTAAAAACCTTCGCTGCCACCATAAACTGAAGAATCACGAAACCTCTAGCTATTTAGAATGATAAAAGGCTGTTTAAATTATTAAAAGGCTTTTCTACTCCACCAAATACTATGTATTATCAAGGGCTTTCTTTGAGGGGAAACAGGAGAGGTTGATTCAATAAGGAAAATGACTCCAACCAAAAATGGCACTTGACTCAGGCTTAGATTTTAAAAATAACAAGAAAGAGTTTATTGATTACAAGTTACAGAATAAAAGTGAATGCAGGTTCAGAGGCTTGGCTGTTACAAATAAAAGTGTTCTTGGTTCTTAGAAGCGTAATGGTTACTTGAGAGAATGGTTCTATCCTTCGTTACAATTTCTAACACAAAACCCAGCTATTTTCTTTCCTAAAATAGCTGTAACCCAGTCTGCCACAGCCTACTTTGCTGTGCAAACTACAGGCAAGCTGCCTATTCTTAACAGAGACTCCTAAAACTTCCAATCCTTCTCTAAACTCACTCAGAACTAAAACTAAACTGTCCAAACAAACTGTTCTCTTTCCCTCCATCTGACTAATTCCACCCCCCTTTTCCAAACCAATCCTGGCTGTTGCTGGGCTGGCTCAGGCCTAGGCCACTCCCCCTCTCTGAACTGGAGCTTTTCCCTAAACTAAGATGGCTCCAGCAGCTCTCTGCCAGGCCTTCTAAGCAAAACTACCTAGCCTGTCTCTTCCTGGGCCCTGCCACCCTGGCTGGCAAGGTAAGGGATCTTCACAGCCTGGTTTCAGGAAAGAGTTACCAACCTGTAAAAAATAGGACATACCTTTCATATGCAGGGTCCTTCTTTTTTTATGCCAATCAGTTTTCCAGATGACCTGAAATAGCAGAGTGGTTTGTATGAATGCTATTATGAAAATGTATTCTGCCTCATACGTTTCCTGTGGCCATCGCAAGTTACATGCAAAAATTGCTTGAGCACTTTATTTCAATTGTTTTTATTCCCATATTCTCACTGTTGAAATGTACAGTTCACTGTTGAAAATGTAATAAACATGAAATAAGTGACTATAGGACAGCTGCATGCAAATGCCAGATTACAAAGTATAACCTAAGAAGAGCCATCAGGGAGAGAAAAAGAAGAGGTTGCAAAACAACAACAACAACAACAACAACAACAACAACCCCAAAATGGTTGCAAAATGCTGGCTAGGCCATAGATACAGGCCACAAGTATGTATGAAGTATGCTTTAGAACAGAGATAGGGATCATGTGATCTTCCAGATATTGTTGGACCACAACTCCCAGCAGTTTCAGAAGTTCAGCAACTTTTGAAGGACTACTGGAGTCCATCCCTTACTGAAGAGGTCATGTGGAGCGTTGAACAGTTTCCTGCCAGCTTGTGAGACAGAATCTGATGAGGTTGAGAACAAAACCCACAGCATATCTGCCCTTCCCTTCCCTTCCCTCTGACTGTAGAAAAGGTGGACTCTATATCCCACTACAGCTACATGTCAGATCCAGATCTTAGGAGATAGTACAAGGGACTGGAAGGAACTGAGTATAAAATGGACCAAGGGAAGATACTTGAAAATTCAGTGAAACAACAGCATTTACTGAACAGTAGTGGAGAACTTAGTAGCTCCCTTCAGATATTAGGCCTCACCACCCCATTGGTTGTGCTATATCAGGGCCTGGCCACATACACTGTAGGAATCACTGTGGCTCGTCGCAGATCATGGTGATTCAGGTGGTGCCCATCCAGGGGGCATGGGTACCTATCACATCTTGCCCTGCACCATCCCGGCTTCCCCCCTACCTCATCACATAGTAGGAAATTCAGCTTGCCTCATGGAGGGTAATACAATACAAGCCTCCTAAGTTGCTGCTGGATACTTTCTTGGGTGGCAACTCCAGTTCTGTAGCAGTTTTGCCCCAGAGTCACCCTAGAAATACTTCTCCATTGTGTGGTGGGAGCCTGTGGTCTCTGTGGCAAAGCTGCTGCAGAACTGGAATTGCCACTAAAATTTGCTCCATGTGAACAGGTCGTTAAGCTATCCAAAAGTAATAGACATGCCACTTATAGCAATGTGAAATTTCCCAGTTGTAGGACCCTTCAGCATCTTTTCAAGCATGGAGAGGCACTGAGCTCATCACGTGAGTTAAACTACTTCTGGCAGTCAATCAATCAATCAATCAAAACATTTATTTCGGTCATTGACCAGCACAGGAAATAGTGTCACATTTCCATACAAACCTGGCATGTTTGGTACATTAAAAATATAAATAYAAMTATAACTACTAAAAHCAC